GTAAGTAAGTAAGTAATCTTTAGTAAGTAATCTTTATTTATATACTGCCATGGAGAACATGCAAACTCCACTCAGAAAGGCCCTGGTCCGACTGGGATTCGAACCCAGGACCTTCTTGCTGAGAGGCGAGAGTGCTATTCCACTCAGCCACTCAGTTGTATACTTTTACAATATTGGACTATGAATGATTGCTTTATTTGTCCCATGGTAGGGAAATTACATGAAATCATTGACCCAATTAATTTACTTAATCCAATGTGAATGTTGTGGCTCCAGTGGGTGGAACTGACGATTTCCTTTGTTTGCACTGTTTTCAGACCAAATTGATGAAATATCCATGATATTAATACATCTCTCCTTCATAGTGGATGAGATGGACTATACAGTGGTAACATGATCACATGTTGCCTTTTCTATGGTCATAAATTTATAAAACTAAGTTGGTGGCGGCTCATGACAATTATAAATTGTTCGCACTGCTACCACTTAAAATTCTATAAAGCGGGAGGCTTTTGAAGCAGCAGTTGCAAAGTTGAGGTTTGCATTTATTTTCATTTTCTCCATGTTTATGCTCTATTTAGAAAAAAAATTAAATAATAAGATGGTATCCTCTGAATGCCATCTGGAGTTCATTATGTTCTTTTTCTGTGTGTGTTCTTTTATTTACTTGTTTCATTGTCCTTCTGTGTACTGTAAATTCTACACATGTTTAATTACCCTCTCAAGTACCACAGTAATGAATAAAATAGTTCCATTAGCACTTCCAGATCCAATTTTTAGTATAGCACTCTTCAACTCCTGAATCCCAGCTCTGCACGTGTCTAGTTAATGTTAATATGAGCTATTTTTCTTAAAAGCAAATGTGTTTTGAAACTGTTGTAGAAATTGACTGCAGAACCTGTCTCGCAGCATAAGGGCTTAGTTTCACAAAGCGTGACCTGGGTTCCTGGTGTCTCAAGCACCAAAATAGATAACTTTTTATGACGTTTCTATCAATGTTCAGATAAACATGACGAGATGGCACATACGGCTTAATCTCTTAAGACCCTTCCTGTGTCGGCGAAGAGGCTGCGCTGACTTCAGCTCCTTCAAACTGACAGCGCTCGAATGACGTGTCTAAGCTGCATGGTGAATCAAGAGACCGGATCCACTGTTCACCCCTGTACTTCATGACTTATTTTGAGCCATTCTCATCTCTTCATACCTTTTTTGAGTAATTCAATGCACTCCAAGAAGAGTTGTTCAAACTAGGGCTGTAACAAGTTCATCGATTAGTTACATTTCATCTATTATTAAAGTTGTTGATATAGTTGATTTATTAACAAATTTAGTTATCAATATTTTTTTAAACCTTGGTGAGAAGAATCTTTTTTTAAAGTTTTTTTTTTAAATGAAACTCAATGTGAACATGTCATCTCTCTAAAGATGTTCTCCAGGGGCATCACTTGAGCTTTGTTGTGGTCGAGTATATATAAAAAATCCCATATTGAACTACCTTTAAGGATCAAACCAACCAACTTCAAAACAATTCAAATGATAAGTTACCAGCTAATTGGTTATCAAAATAATTACAGCCCTAGTTTTGTCCACTATTAATAGACTTTTGCTTGAAGCTTACATTTAATCCAATCAATCAGCCAAAATGTCGACCTTAACATTACGATTGTTTTAAGTCTCATTCTAATTTAAATTTTTTCTATTAACTTTTAATATACTGTATATACAGTACAGACTAAAAGTTTGGACACACTTTCTCATTCAATGAGTGCCCTTTCTTTTCATGACTATTGACTGTAGATTCACACCCTGGCTGTGTAAGGGCTATTTGACCAATAAGGAGAGTGGTGGGTGCTGGGCCAGATAACCCAGTCCAGATGGTTTTGGGGTGAGCTGGACCACAGAGTGAAGGCGAAAGGGCCACCAAGTGCTGAGCATCTCTAGAAAATCCTTCAAGACTGTTGGAAGACCATTTCAGGTCACTACCTCTTGAAGCTCATCAAGAGAATGCCAAGAGTGTGCGAAGCAGTAATTAGAGCAAAAGGTGCTACTTAGAAGAACCCAGAATATAAGACATATTTTCAGTTGTTTCATTATTATTATTTTTTTTAGTACGTACATAATTCCACATGAGTTAATTCATAGTTTTTGAGGCCTTCAGTGTGAATCTACAATTTTCATAATCATGAAAATAAAAAACTCTTTGAATGCGAAGGTGTGTCCAAACTTTTGGTCTGGACTGTATGTACTTTTTATTCTCCTTTTTATATATTTATCTTAAGTCACAGCCACTGCCTTCAACTTCATGTATCATTTAGTGTTAAGTGCAGTAAGTTGCAGAGTCTGAAAAATTATACTGTTTAATAAATGTTGCATTATAGACATTTTCAAACTGCCTTTGGTACTTTTTAAATCTAACCCTCTCCAGATTCCCATCAGTCGGATACTGTAGCTGTTTTTGCTTTTCTTTTTTTTCGTTCCGGCAGCCACCAACACTCCTTTGTTGTTTGGACAACCCACTCGCTGCTGGCAGCCTGTCCAACTTACCACCTGACAGGGTAAATGTACCAGTACATTGCCTGTGTGTCATTGTCCTTCACCCATCCTCCTCCTGGACTAGTCCTTTCTCCTGGTCAATAGCCATGTGTCCTTGTCCAGCTCCATTCCTGCTGCTCCAAAGAATGCTTGTCTCAGAGTTGGTGCTCATCATCCTTGTCCTTGAGTACTTGTTATAGTTATTGAAAAGAAACGATAGACCTGCTGTATTGATCCATTCTTTCAGATTTTAAAGTGTAATGTGTTGACACAAACATCTACTTGACAGATGTTTGTGGCCTTTACTAGTCTAACCCAAGAATATTGTTTAACTGAAAATACAAAAACATATCCACATGGTAATCTATAATCTCAAAATGCAGAATTATCCCAGATCCATAAAACTGAATATGTATGTTTTTTTAATGTGTATTTGAAAACTTTTTACAGAAAATATAATTCTATTTTTGCTTACCACATGGAAAAAATCAGACTTGCTTCATCACATAAAACATCCCCCGAACCCATTAGTCTCGATATCTAACGAGTGCTGCCAGTGCATTTAGACCGTTTAAAGGCACAAGCCTACTGCAATGCTGAGCCAGACGTCTTTTTGTGTGAAAGAATATTTTATCAAAACAGGGCTGCTTTGGGAATGGAAAATTTATTCTTTTAATGCCACATAATTGAGTGTTGACTTCTCCAAGCAGTCCATACTGATAGATCTAGCTCGAGCATCTGTATATGTTATCCCACGCTCAGAATTCTTTTATTCATGGGTTGAACAGCTTAAAAATCAAGCAAATTACAAACAAAAGGGTTAGGGTGCTCATTGATTTAGCTGTAAGTATTAATAACATTTCACCAAATATCCTATAAAGTATCATTTCCATCCAGTATAGATCCTGCTGCTGTAACCTTGCTTTTTAAATTTTTTGCGTTTGTGTGTTGATCCAGGCTCTCCAAAGTTTAGCTGTTTTAAATGAATATACAACAGACTTTACTGTAAGCTCAAAGGAGCAGAGGAGCCTTCTATTAGTGCGTTGTGTTTACTTAAGAGATGTTGGAGACTGTTTTAACAAATGACTAACGCTTGGCTGCCTTCACTCGCAGACTTATAATTTTAAGTGCAATGAGCGTCTCTCTGATGTAGTTTTAGTGTGCACTAAATGTTCCCGTGTCCCTGGAGGATGCCCCCTGGAGCATTCACTCGCACTCCACATCTTTGTATGTTCGCTTCACAGCAGCAGGCCTCTTGCACCACATTACATCACACACACAAGTTTCAACCTTGATAATGCCAACATATGTTGTTTGTATTGTCTTAAAGGAATAGTTCACCGTTTTTACATACTGACATGTGTTCTTACCTTACCTTAGACTAGTTAATACGTACCTGTCTGGTCTTAGTCCGTGCGCTCTGTCATGCAAACGGAGCAAAAACGGGAGCACAAACGCAGCCTCCTCTGTATACTGTGTAGGACCAAAAGGTAGCTCCCGCTAGAAGCTACCAAACTCTTCCAAGTGTTCCCTATTAAATGTATATAGTTACGTGACGTGTTACACTGCAAAGTATAGTAACACAGAAATGTAACAGTCGATTTTCTCAGCGGATAAAACAGGTACTATATTGTGAGGCGTAGTAATCTGAGGAGCGCTACGTCCGCGCACTAACTTCTCTCCGGAGACTTCTCTCTCGCTCACTTCCATCAATAGAAGCAGCGTGACTTGTAGTACGGAGAGAAGTTAGTGCGCGGACGTAGCGCTCCTCAGATTACTACGCCTCACAATATAGTACCTGTTTTATCCGCTGAGAAAATCGACTGTTACATTTCTGTGTTACTATACTTTGCAGTGTAACACGTCACGTAACTATATACATTTAATAGGGAACACTTGGAAGAGTTTGGTAGCTTCTAGCGGGAGCTACCTTTTGGTCCTACACAGTATACAGAGGAGGCTGCGTTTGTGCTCCCGTTTTTGCTCCGTTTGCATGACAGAGCGCACGGACTAAGACCAGACAGGTACGTATTAACTAGTCTAAGGTAAGGTAAGAACATATGTCAGTATGTAAAAACGGTGAACTATTCCTTTAAAGTGCAGGATTAACAGCAATGTGTCTGGATCATATTGTAAGCAGTTTTTTTGGAGAGACAGAAGTGTGGGCTCCAGTCATAACTCACTGAGATCCGTCCACTGTAGTAATGTTGTACTTCTAATCTCTATACTAGAAGAAGGGGGAAAATGTGTGCTCCATGGCATTATGGATAAGGTTACGATGTACAAAAAAAAGTCTTGCAACCTTTTAGATGACAAATTTTACAACAATTAGGCTGCTCCTGCCCTGTCCTTTTTAAGAAGTGTCACTTTGAAACCTTCTATGTCCTACTTCCACGTAGCTAAAATTAGACCAATGAACATGTTTAAGATTTTTCCTTGGGTAAAACTTATTTTCTTCCTCTTTGTAGATCCCTTGTGGAGGACGACGACGCGCACATGAAAGTGGCTCTGGGCTATGGCGATATGGGCATCTCTGCTCACCTGCAGGCCTCCAAAACCGGGAACACACGCTTCTTCACAAGCAACACGCACAGCTCTGTGGTTCTTCAGGTCAGTGTCCACACTATAATGTTGACTATATTGAAATGGTATGTTACAATTGTACATTTCTCCTTTGTGAGATAAATGAAGTTTATTCTTTATCTTGTCTTTCAACAAAATCCCCATCTCACAGCTCCCAAAGATCTGCTTAAAAGAATGGTCTTTAAAAGAGACCCGGAATAAGAATTAGCCAATGCTAACATATAGCATTGGCTGACCTCTCAAACGTCTTAACAGGATGGTCCAAAAGTTGGCTCTTGGCCCAAAGCTCCGTTCCACATGTGTGTCAATGCTGAGGGGAGTGAATTTTTTTGGACCACTCTAGTTTACTCGCTGTGAATTTTTGAAGTCTCTCGTTCAAATGAATGGAGCTCTCGCCAGCTGACGCATGCGCAGATACGTTTTTTCACAATTTTCTTGTGGGCGGGACCACTCGTGGCCATTTTGGATTGCTCCAGTAGACCACTATTTTTGGCCCATTAGTTTGAACGGCGGAGATAGGCGTGACTATGTCCATTATTTTTTAAAGTCTATGCTGCAACCCCCCGACCCAGTTATGAATTAAGGGGAAGAAAATGGATGGATAATGTATTTATAATCCATTCACATTTGTTTGATTCTGGAACCTCGACCAAGAGGCACCTGGCGCAGTTTAGCACAGGGGTGTCCAGCCTGATGCTTGGGAGATACCAGTAGCTTGCCACCCCTAATTAATGTTAATGTTAATTATTACAAAATACATGTTTCAAATAGCCTACGGAGAATGACGCATTCAGATTGATGTTAAAGAACTTCCAATTAAAATGTTTTATTTGTCTTTCTCCAGAGGGGACTGTTTGTAGTATTTTAATGTTAGATTACATTTGCATATTTTATGTGTCCCCAGATAATAGATGTATAAACATGTGCACAGAATTAGATGAAATAATTTCCTCCCAATTTATTCACATCTAACATGACCATTCTGTTTTGAGCCACCTGACGTTGCACCAATATTATATTTGGGTTGAACTGATTAACTCATTGAATGCCAGCCTATTTCAGAACAGGTACTCCCACAGTGCCAGCCATTTCTGATGATTTTTACTGATTTTTCAAGACCCACAGAATATTGTGTACTATGACTATCTGAAATCCGACACCAGATTCTAAAAGAATGGACTGTCTACTTTCCTCAGCAAAAATAATTTTGTTTATAGCTTTTTTCGTTCCCCTGTAATCTTCCGTCGAGTAGAGGGAAGTTTTACTGAAATCACCAGAAATCACCAGAAAGTTGAGAAAAAAGAGGCACAACATGTGCACCTACATGTTTTCAAACCATTCAGAGAGCAATGCTGCCACCTGCTGGCTCGATAAAATATGGTCTCAAGTCATCCCCATACATATTAGATACAATAGACATCTGGGAACGTGAAAATAGCAAAAAAGGCAATTGACGGATTAATGCGTCAATGGCACACGACGTTACTATTTGCTTTGACGTATTTGTGCGTCAATGGGACACAATGAGTTTAAATGGATTATGAAAATGTGGATTAAATGTATCTTCGTTTACACAAAAGAAAATAAGACGCTACATCCCTGATGTACGTATTTCTCCAATATTGTACATGCTTCTCTGTTTGGGAACTTTGTTGTTGGTGTAAATCTTGGAAAGGCTTTATAAGCTTTAGTATTTCTGAGTAAATCATTGTCTTGTTCCCTACTTTTGGATCTGTTCATATTTCTCGACCCTTGGAGATCATTATTATGACTATTTTAATTCTCGTCTTCTTACTTTTTTTTTCTTTTTTTTTACGATGCAAAGGCAAAGCCGATCATGCTTAATCTATGCTTGACACATATCAAGAAATTGCTGTATTTTTTCACTTTTGCCTCTTCTGAGTAAAAATAATGTAAAAGCCTTGAGGCAACATAATTGTAGAGTGAATATTATATTAGCAAAGGTCTTACTATGATGTATTCTTTCGAGAATTGATCCACAACATGAAAATTCTATCTTGCTGACGTTAGAACTGTTCTATAATCTCTTAAGTTTTTTTCAATGACCTACTTTTTGGAAAATGTGCTTGTACTAAAATTACTCATTTACTATTGGTGTGCTTCTGACCTTTTATTCTATTTTGATAACCTATAAATAAGTATTAGATGGCTCATAAAAATGCTAATATTTCAGTGCATGCATCAGTTGAGCATCAAATATGCAACATAAACTGCTGATTTTTTATAGAGCGTAATATTGAAACCCAAATCGATCCGTTATCCTGTCGCCGGATATTTGCATAAAGTTTACATCAGCTGGTTCTGCTGTTGGACTGTGTGGCTGCTGCAGTGTCTGTGCGTGTCACTCTCTCTGTGGAAATAAATGGGTGTTGGCCCCTTTTTCTCCTCATTAATCATTGGGAGTCACAGCGCGGTAATGAATGATAATGATTGAACCCTGGCCCTGCAGACACAGTTTGCTTGTGTACCTAATCACACCAGGCTAATTAGATAATACTATTATCATTTAAAACATTATTTACAGAGTGGTTTAATCGTTCATTTATATATGTCTATATGTGCTACTATGGCGCTCTTGTACCCTCTTTGGTGTGTTTATTACTATTAGGACACCCATGAGACCTTATTCTATTCATACATTACATATATTGGCTATTAATAAAGATATTAATAGGTTGTGTTGAGATCTAGCTTATAACATTGACCTAGATTGATTGATTCCATACAAATAATCCTGTAAAATACAATCACGACCAGGCATTGGAAGCCGGTGAGGAAGCTGGAGGGAAAACTAAAATCTCACTGCGCTTACCATGTGTGGACTGCCTTTGGCACAAGCCACACTTAAACTGTGAACAAATGTGTGGAAGATGACTCTCAAAGGCTCACTGGAGCTGGATCCATCACAGAGGGAAATCGTTGGCTCCTCTCACCATCAGGAACCTTATTGATCAAAGTAAAAGGACTGCATTCTTTGTTTTAATTACATGCTATTCCTCTGTGAATACTTTAGCCAATAAAGGATTATATGTAGCCTGCGCTCTTACAGGTTCTAAAGAGGTACGCTACGATCTACAACTAAACCTGTGTTCCTAGTACCTCAGCCTGCAAAGAGAACGCAAGAGTCTCTTGTTTTCATTATTAAACATTGCTGCAAGTGCCAGGGCCTTAGGTGGGTGGGGATTTTACCATTGGATTATACCATGGATTTTACCATTCGAACTGGCAACCATAAATTAGGCTCATTTTGTTTTTTGATAGGAAATTAGTATTGGTTCTTAACCATGCAAGAAAGACATTTTATTATCTTAATTTCAGTTTTTTAGGAGGAATTGTTCATTCTGATTTCTGCATAGTGGTGCTGCAAATGTCTTACATTTTAAGACCTTCTTTTTAAGGATCTCCATCCATTTTAGGGCTGTAACAAGTTGATTACAAATAATTGTACTTAATTATTGATTATTTTTTGTTTACCTTACAAAGACATATACAGTCATCGCTATGAAAATGTCACTTGATCTTTCATTTGCTAAAATGTGTGAACAATCACATTCACTGACCTTTAAGGAACTGAACAAGTAATAAAAAACAATTTAAATACTGCCGTGGAGTGTTTTCACACATGTGCCTCTTCTCCTCAGGGATTCGACCAGCTGAGAATAGAGGGGCTGCTCTGTGACGTCACTTTAGTGGCAGGGGACGGGGACGAAGCGTTTCCTGTGCACCGCGCCATGATGGCCTCCTCCTCCGACTATTTTAAAGCCATGTTTACAGGTCAGTGCTAATACGATCTCTGCCAACTCATTAGACTACACAAAGGGATATGCTGAAAATGTATTATAAGAAATGTATATAATTATTTATTAATTGATTGTTGCAGTGATTTAACATAGTCCAGTTATGCCGTGGCCTTTTGCATCATGAGAACCAGCCACAGTGACTTTCTGCCCATTGACCTCCAGTGTTGTGTGCATTTATAATTCATATTGCTACTTGATAAACCGCTAACGCTCTCACTCCATTGCATGCATTTATTTTGACTTGGGAAGTTATTTCTAAGTGAGTAATAGGGTTTTTCAAATATAGGCATCTAAAGCCCCATTGGGGAACTTTTTTTTAGACAAGAATGAAATTAATATGGATGTTTTATTGCATTGAAAAAGTATAAAACCACAATTTCTTATGATAAGTAGTCTTTCCAAAATCCAGTGCCATTTAAAGCATTGGTTGCATCTCCGGAACTTTCTTTAGATATTTTTAAAGTTCCTTCTTTCGTGACACATGTCCGTAGCCTGGCTGTCACCAGACCCTTGTAGTTCCGCCATGCTCCACCAGAGGCGTTTCGCTTCACACACAAGGGTCTGGTATCGAGTGCATAGCAAACTCCTTCAGCAGATCAGAAAATAATCGACCAATCAGGACTGCAGGTGTTAGGTCGGGTTTGCACCACCTTCTAAAGCGTGCCTCACGCGGCAGTGAAATCAATTCAAGATGGCGGACATGAAGTCCGTGATTTTAAAAAAAAAGTTCCAATACGAACAAATTAAGACACGGATGTCACTTTTAATGCAATATGAGGCGAGATGTTGGTGGTTCCATGTTGTTATATGTGTGTTTTAAGGGTCAAATGTTCGTGTAAAGTTTGGTTTAAGTACTAGTTTAAGTGTTCCTGTTCACAACACCACGCAGAAGGGTTGCCAGGTTGGGTGGTTTCCCGCATACTTTTTTCTAAGAGACTTGTAGGTAATAAATAAACAGAAAGAGAATAAACAGAATCATGATAGGCCAAGTTGATTACATTACGTTTTTAGCCAAAAAATCATTCTGGGTATTTTTTTTTTTTTTTTTTGGGCATTCTTGCAAGTTTTGGGATGTTTGATGTTTTGACCTTGGAAGCAGTTATTGATGGTGAATTTTGAAACTTTATCATATTTTCATTACAGTAAATATAGCAACACACTGTAATTGCGTTATGTAAACGATCATAAAAAGCAATTATTCTTGTGTGTCTAGAGCATAGATTGGTGTCAAATGTTGTCTCCGACCTTCTGCTGTTATCAGATTCAAATTCAGAAAACTTTATTGATCCCAAAGGGATCAATTCATTTGCAGCATAATCTCACAAACACACAGTGAGTCAGGCCTCACAGTTCACACAGCAGCAAGTTACAATACAAGTTAAAAACAACAATGCACAACACAGAAATTCCCAAAAGGACGCAAAGGAATTTAAATTTTTGTTTTGTTTTCCGCGTTATAGCATAAAAACCATGCCTTGAAGGCATCATTACAATCTCAGTGATCAAAAGATGTTTGGGCTGAGCCAGAATACTCTTTGTTTTATAAAATAAGAAATCCTGTTTACTCGGCACCTGTTCCTCCTACAAAGAGTGAAGGTCTGAGTTTTCCTCCGGTGATTTTAAAGCAAGTTTTCACAATACTTTGTAACTTGTTTCTGTCCTTCAGCATCAATCTTTAGAATCAACAGATAAAAGAAAAGCTGAGATGGCTTTCAATAAAAGAACAGTAAAAATGATTAAGAATTGTCCTGTTTACATGAAAAGAGTTCAATTTCCTCAACAGGTACATTCTCTGCTGTGATCGTTTAACAATAGACTCAGTGTTTATGTCAAACTTCAGTTTGTTGTCTATCGTGGTTCCAAGATACTTTTAACTGTCCACGATTGTGGCATTCCCACCGTGAATGACGCTGGTGTCATTTGATGTAACACGTCTGAAATAAATTATCATATCCTTGGTCTTTGCAACATTTTAATCCAAGGAATGGTTTTCACACCAGGAGACAAATTCTGCTAGAGCAGGGTCGTGGCCCGGCAAGCAGTGACACCAGTACTGTGTCGTCTGAAAATGTAAACAGAAGTCTGTTCTCCTCTGATGATGGACAACTGTTTGTGTAGAGGATACAAAGAAGAGGCGACAGGACACATCCTTGGGGCGACCCAGTGTCGAAGATTGAAGGAGCAGATGTTTTCCCATTCACTAAAACATGCTGAACCCGATCAGTAAGAAAGATCAATAAAAGAAGTTGGTCTGGGAGATTGAAATCAGCTGCTAATCTCTGTATGAGAATATGAAACTGCATTTTGTTAAATGCAGATGAAAAGTCTGCAAATAAAAGTCTAACATGGGCTCCGGCCTTTTCCAGGTGTTTAGAAATGACATTCAACTGGAACACTTTTGCATCAGCTCCTGTTTTGTGTTTATATGCAAATTTCAGTGGATTAAATTGTCCTACTGTTAAGTAAAGGATGTAACTCTTTAAAATGTGCTCAAGGCTTTTCATAACCAGTGAGGTTGTCATTAAGCCTTGCTCAACTATTCTAACACTTATAAAAAAAACAATGTGTGTTTTTTTAAGTTTGTTCCCTTATGTAAGCTTTACTCTGTGCCACTCGGAATCATATGGAGCGGCTGCTAGTGAACCACTCAGGCAAACAGGATTATAGGAGCACTCTACTTATAAAAATTGTCTTATTCCCAACTCTGCTTTCACAGGTGGGATGAAAGAGCAGGATTTAATGTGCATCAAGCTCCACGGGGTGAACAGAATAGGCCTAAAGAAGATCATCGACTTCATATATACGGCAAAGCTATCGCTGAACATGGAGAATCTACAGGACACACTGGAGGCTGCCAGCTTCCTCCAAATCCTCCCTGTGCTGGATTTTTGCAAGGTTTTTCTTATATCAGGGGTAAGGACATTGCATCAAATTAGATTGTGTTAAGGACAACGGCAATGAGATATTTTAATCTTGAATTCACTTTTAATCACATTTTGCAATAGATATAAAAGAAGACGCCTAGTAAGTGGTTAAAATAAATACATCTTGGCTGGTGTATTATTATCGATTAACTAATAAATATTGATTTTTCACATCCCTTAAAAAAAACTATCCTTTTTGATGCTTGGACTGAAATGAAAGTTGCCTTTTTAAAATGCTGTTGAAGATGCTAATTAGAATAATAGATTTCCATTTCATCTGTTAGTGGTTTCAGCATTCAGCCCTGACTAATAGAAAAAAATAATGTACTTATCTATTCCAGCAAGTGAACCTCTGAAATTATAAAAGCTCAACATTATTTTATGCTAAAAGTGTCTACATTGAAAAAAATCCAAGTTCAAAATATTCAAGTGCAATGTGAAAGCCTTTATGGAAATTAGTTATTTGCTTGAGAATTATCATTGCTTTTAAAATGAGCTTAATGAATGCTTGTGTTCCTCTGTCTGCATCTTATTTGAAATAATTATTATTAATTTGTGCCTGTGTTTCGCAGGTCTCTCTTGATAACTGTGTGGAGGTCGGACGCATTGCCAACACATACAACCTCACAGAAGTGGACAAATATGTCAACAACTTCATTTTGAAAAACTTTCCTTCGTTGCTTGGCACGGGAGAGTTTGTGAAGTTACCTTTTGAACGATTGGCTTTTGTATTGTCGAGCAACAGCTTAAAACACTGCAGCGAATTGGACCTGTTCAAAGCTGCATGTCGCTGGCTCCGCTTTGAGGACGGCAGAATGGACTACGCCTCTAAACTCATGAAGAACATCAGATTCCCCCTCATGAACCCACAAGAACTCATCAACCATGTTCAAACAGTAGACTTTATGCGCACAGATAACACTTGTGTCAACCTCCTGCTGGAAGCTAGCAACTACCAAATGATGCCCTACATGCAGCCAGTCATGCAGTCAGAAAGGACAGCCATCCGCTCAGACAGTGCCCACCTGGTCACACTGGGTGGGGTCTTGCGGCAACAGTTGGTTGTGAGCAAAGAGCTGCGGTTATTTGATGAAAAGGCTCACGAGTGGAAAGCTTTGGCACCCATGGACGCGCCCCGGTACCAGCACGGCATTGCAGTGATTGGAAACTTCTTGTACGTTGTGGGCGGCCAGAGTAACTACGACACCAAAGGCAAGACGGCAGTGGACACGGTGTTCCGCTACGACCCGCGCTACAACAAGTGGATGCAAGTGGCGTGCCTTAATGAGAAGCGAACCTTCTTCCACCTCAGTGCACTCAAGGGACACCTCTATGCTGTGGGAGGAAGGAACGCCGCCGGAGAGCTCGGTAAGGCAACACCCAGCCTTCAAAGCCTTTATCAATCATGTATGAGATATTAATGGCTTTTTTAAATTTCAAGAAACTGCAGGGAAATAATATACATTTGTAGAAAAGCAAGGTATTTGCAACATAAATGAAGATATTTCTTTATTCGTCTCACAGTGGAGAAATTTCAGTGTCATCGTTGCGCACATTACAGCAGAGTAAGAAGGAAATAAGAGCACTCAGATTGCACACATCAAATTGAGCATTATTTAAGATAATAGACAATATAATTGAAATAAGATAAAGAATAAAATAAAATAAAATAAACTCTGGGGCTATAATAATTGCACTTGGTTCAGAAGTATTCACAGATGTGTATATTACATTTTACCAGCGGAGAATATGAGGATATGAATATGAGCAGAAAAAGCAGAAGTATCAGATGGATAATGCAGTAGTACTAATAACAGGTAAAGTGACTAGTGACAAAGTTACTAGTGAATTCATTATATTTAATGAAACAACAGCTCGGATAAAGCCTCTTTCATGTTCATTTTTTTCATTTGAGTTTCTTCTATTCCTTACTTTTTTCAAGTCTAAGAATCTAAATTTGTTGCAAAAAAGGCTGTTGCTAGTGTGGGCTGAGCTGTAGTAGTGACCCACAGTGTGGTACCACCCAGTATTTAAAAGCAGTGAGTTAAGAGCCTTGGACACAGTCTGGTCTTCCAAGTTATAATTAGACCAAAATACATGAGCCCCAGTCATTGGCTGTCTACATAACTGTCTGTTTTTAGCTTTACTGGCCTGTGCTGCTGCGTGCGGTTTTGCCTTGAAGTTGTTTCTTTATTCTGAAGGTAACCATCCTCCATCCTCTTATGTTTGTTTACTCGGTGTAGGGCGTGTAATGGGTGGGGTTTTATTGTTTGAGTAAGTTAAGATTTTAGGAATCACTTGACTCTTTAAGTGTAGTTAAAGTTTTATTACATATCATCTGTACCTTTTTAATGTTGGTTTAATTTAATTAACCATTTACCAAGATATTTGTGGATTCAGGACCGCCTGCCCATTCAAATATTACGAAGGAGAATTCATTGTTTCATGTTTAACTCAAGCATCTCATAGATTGTGCGTCCTCAAGGTGACTTTGAGGAGAGTTGTAGAGGGAGCAAAGGGGGGCTTTTTCCTGCTGTTATTTCCCCAACTGTCCCAGGACTTCAGTGTTCAGAGACATTTTAGAAACCTACTGATTCAATACTTGCATTGATTGAATAGTTTTTCCACAAAAATATATTGCATGTTTTCAAATGCTTTTGAATAAATAAAAGTTAAGGTTTATCAGCTGCTGAGAATGTCATAAAACATGCTTTCCTTGTGTTTATTTATTGTTTATTTGTCTAGTACAGTGCATGTTAAAGAACAACATAATTGTTTTCCCACAATCACTCTCACAAAAACACTCAGAAACCAGAAATCATTACACAACCATATTGATACAGAAAGGTATTTACTTTGACACAGTAGCGACAGTAGTTCACAATTTACAATATAGTGGCTACAAAATGACAGCGGTATGCAAAATGAAGTTACAATATTTTAACTACAGCTATAACATTTTGAAACAAGGGTTCTTTGAGTCTCCCCTTGCTGCCTGAACACAAACATGAATTACCTGCAGGTGCTCATTGCTTGTTACATATCCTCTCAGAGAACCTCACTCATGCCCTGTGTCCTGGATTCATGTCCCCATCTGTGCTACCCCAGCTCTGTGCTTCTGGTGGGGCAGTATTTAAGTGTGCGTCGGCTCCCACACAGAGACCCTCCAAGGCCTTATTTGCTGCTGTTTGTCCTCCTTAGTCATGTCTTGACCTACTTTCTGTTAATATCTTCTTTTCTCTGTTTCTCTTTCTTTAAGCTACCGTGGAGTGCTACAACCCCAGGACAAACGAATGGACGTACGTTGCCAAAATGAATGAGCCGCACTATGGACATGCTGGCACTGTGTATGGTGGCTACATGTACATTTCAGGTATGTGCAATTAGTTTCCTATTCTCTGCCTCAAATCAAAGTCAAACTTGCAGTAAATGAGAAATTCAATATATTTCCCTGTTTATATTTTGATTGTGGTTTAAAGTCCCATCACAAACATCTCTATCACACATCCAGGTCTCATTTTCTCAGTTGCGTGAGCAGAGCATCACAATGACTCACTGTGTTCAGTCTGGGTTTGGTGTTAAAATAAGGAGATTCTCTCAGAAATGTGCTGAAACCTTTTACCGTTTCATCTCTGAAATTGGTCTCAAAAAGCATATCACAATATCACAATATCAAGTCTTATTCGGACTTATTCTGTTAATTTTAACGGTAATTCCTGGATAATATGTTTTAATGAATAATAGATTTTTGCTGAACATTTTGCAAAATCGTTTCTACATTAATCGTACTATGTTTTTAAGGATGAGAAGTTTGAGTCACACACTATAATGTCTTGGCACAATGCAGATCCAAATAAAACAGTGACTTGGTACAGGGGTCCAAGGAACAGTTGTCTTGTGATGACTAGTCGATAAAACTGCTCCTTGATTCATAGGTGCCTCTTCAGTCCTTGTTCACATTTTGGATTGAACCAAAATCCAGCGTTATGGAGATGAGCCCTAGTTTCAGAGTGTGACTAATCCAGTGCAATGCTCCATGGAGAAGGGAGGGGGAAAGATATGAGGTAGGAGACGCGAAGAAGGGAGACAAGAGGCTGTGTAGGAGGTGAGCTCAAAAGGCTTGTGTTAATCTGTATTTGCCCTCTGCTCTATTGTAGCACCCAGGGACATTACCGCGGCTCTAAAGGAATAGCATTGATGATATACTTAATTGATGACTAACTGGCTCCATAACTGACATGTGGCTTCACCATTAAGTTATAGATTTTGTTTACTAATGTTTAGGACTGTAATTCTTGATCTACTAAAACCACAGATTAGTCAACAAGAAAGAGGACCTGGCAAATGTTTGAAATATTTCTGTCGTATAAATTGCACTTTCAAAATTTTATAAATGGAAAAAAAAACATTTTTAGGGGAGAAAAACCCAGAAATATTTAGCAATTCATAAAAAATGTTTTGATTTGCCTTGAATATCAGTAGAAAAAGACCAAAATCTTTAGGCATTTTTCTCAATTTTTATCGCATAGATAATCTTCCTCTGTCAATCAATACATTTTTTTTTTGTCCATGGTTTCTACTAAGAAACCATCGACCGACTCTTTGACCAAACGACAAAAGAGTGACAGCCTTGTTAATATTTGATATGAAGTGCAGTCTTTGCTTTAAATCTTTCATTCTCTAACTATTTCAGTCCATAACTGGTGAGATGTCATAATTTCACCTGGTATGATCCTCATTTATATTCAAATAATCATTTTGTCACATTAAAATCTTCACATCTCCTTCCTTTTTCCTAGAAGCTTTAATCTTTATTTCTCAGATCTGGTCCTTTTAAGCTTCACCATGCTGCGCACACAAACCCTACAGTTATGTCATTACTCCTCAGTCTCATTATGCATGAAACTATTATCTGTCAGAACGTAAGTGTCATGGTCTTTTATGAGGGCAAATGACTCCCAAATTAGACTTTTACGGCCATGTGACTTGACCAGTGCGCTTTGATGTATGTGTTCGTTAAAGACCATTGTATTTTACATCACCATATGACACCATTGTCATGTTTCATATTGTCATAAATAACTTGTTTACTTTAAGTTTGTTTTAATTAACTTCACATATTCTTACACCCGTGTTTATTTGTGTAAGTACTCTCCATCACCTTGTTTTGGGGAACTAATATTGCATTTGGCATGAGCTGGGACTGTGTTTACGTGCGACCACACAATCCACCAACCAAGAAATCTGTGTAGCATAAGATGAAAGCCTTACTTTTCCCCTTTTTAAAAATAAATAAACTCAAATGGTGAATAAGGAAATAGTTGCGTCTGAGCTAATCTGCTGCGTGCCAGCTGTTTCAGTGGCTCTTGCTCCAGGCCTCACTCTGCTCTGCCTCACACTGATTCTGAGCTTTTCTGCTGTTTCTAATGGACTCCTTTGTTGTCAGCCTCATGTTTCGCTCTTTTCACTTGGGCTGCCGACAAGCTTTATAAGTGACCGCAGTGTAGCTGCTAAAAGCATTGACACAATGTCATGTGCTGTGTCACCAGATCGACACAAGCCTGCCCCGATCTGACTGTTACTGCACCTATTAACAAAAGAATATTGTCATGGCATATAAAAAGTCTTATTTCCTATGAACAAAACTGGTTTTGTTTTTTTATTAAATGTTTTCGTTCTGCATTCATAGGATTTTTATATTAACCTGAGCGGTTTGGTCTCCAGGGCTCGGGTCCTGTACAAGGTGACCTATGTAGAAGTGCTCTGAGTGCGTCTGTCACAGAGGCTCAGCTCACGGTGGCCGGGCTCCACTGCTGAGCTGTCTGAAGGAATCCTGTCAGCCTCATCAACCTGACAAACACACTCAGCTCAACAGAGCACAGTCCAGACTGGGCCAGAGATTAACATCTGCACAAGCTGCAGGCTCACAATTAAAAGCATTTGTGTAATGAGACTCAAATCCTCTCAGAATCTTTCAAAAGTATTTGATTTGGCCGTTAAAATCACATGCATTGTACACATCTGCAGTGGTGTGCATAGAACATCAGGGGGACCCGGCAACTTGTTTCATAACTAAGATTTTGAAAACAACTGCTATCGGGCATAATTACTGTATTCCTTTTTGAGTGACTGTAAAAAAAAACAATTTTTTCTTCTTTTAGGCAGTTCAAGGTTTAGAGTCGGATCATTATACATCTGTGCTCTGGACACTTGATCTTTAAAGAGTATTTCTGAAGTTGCTGAGCCTTACCTTTGTCTATCTTGTAGTCTGTTGTACCTTTCTCCTATGGACTTTTTAAATGTAATGGTTTTACCAGGATTAGCCAACTGGCTTTGTTTGGCAGCTGTTCCCATGACCTCCTTATATTGAGCATGAATAGTAATTGTATATATGAATTTATGCCTTTTATTGGAACATTTTAGTTATTCGGTATGACTCTGTCTGAGACCTATTTTGTTTGTTCGTAATACTCTTATTACTTGCATATATAAAAAGTAGTTTATTATGTTATATTCCAAAAAAGAAATTAAACACTTCACACACAGCAGAGCGGCCCCAGTTAGTTTGACTAATTGTTGTTGCTCTTGATGTCTGACTTCTCAACAGCTCCCTGTGGGATTGCAGGAGGGTCATCAGACATCACTATTGGAGTAGATCTAGTGATTTCTATGTGTAGTACTTAAGAAACAGCAGCAGCCTCTTGAGAGGAGACTGGACTCTGCTCTGCTCAGTTTAATAGCATGCTTGTCCGGAAGAGTTCTCTGATAAGGAACACGCATGGCGGCTCTGTCGTTAAATTTTGATCAAAATGCCAAGCTTCCTGCTCAAGTCTGTATTTGGACAATAATGACACAATCAGTGAGCAAAAGGAGGGATCCTGCCACTCTTCATTGCTCCTTGTTGCTTTCTGCCTTGAGGGGAGGAGAGATGAGGAGCTGAATCCAACCCAAATGCATGCTGGGATTGCATTCCTCTTTATTTTAAGCCTTCCCTGTAGACATGTCCTGTATTTTTCTAGTTTTTCCTCCATCGTATTTGTGTTGTGTATCTTTCTGAGCTCATAGACACTTTGTGATGCAGATGATGAACCATTGAAAAAGAGGCACACATCACAACAGACAAAAAAGTTATGTTGAGACATGTCCAGTTCTGTGTGGTTAGTGTCTAACTGATTGGACACTAACCACTTTGGAGGAGTAATTAAGCAGTAATTCTGGTAAATGAGGAATAACAGCTTTGCGCCTCATCACAATTTACATAATATATGTAATAGATTTTTAAATATAGCTAATGAATATGATCTTGTAAAGTGTGTTTGTTATTTTTCTTAAGTGGGTTCTTTTATGTTTCAGGAGGAATTACTCATGACACGTTCCAGAAGGAGCTGATGTGTTTTGACCCGGACGCAGACAAATGGACTCAGAAAGCGCCCATGACGACAGTGCGCGGCCTGCACTGTATGTGCACTGTAGGAGACCGGCTCTATGTGATCGGAGGGAACCACTTCAGAGGCACCAGTGACTATGATGATGTGCTTAGTTGCGAGTATTACTCTCCTGCTCTGGACTTATGGACTCCTATTGCCGCCATGCTGCGTGGCCAGAGCGACGTGGGCGTGGCTGTTTTTGAGAATAAGATTTATGTGGTAGGTGGGTACTCGTGGAACAATCGATGTATGGTAGAAATCGTACAGAAGTACGACCCAGAGAAAGACGAGTGGCACAAAGTGTTTGACTTACCAGAGTCCCTGGGAGGCATCCGGGCCTGCACACTCACAGTGTTCCCTCCTGACGACCTTTCGGGCTCCCCCTCCAGAGAGTCTCCACTCTCGGCACCTTGACACGTAATGGCTGGGCGGCCATGAAGCTACACCCACCCAGCCCTCGAGACAAACCCCTATAGACTTTGTTTGCACTTCCTATTGGACTACATCTGTACTGCTATGTTTCCCAAGCTCATCTCCTCAACGTTGTGCAGAAACACCTCCCTGGCCCCATAAAGTGTATACCGACAGTTTGGCAACCTAATTACGTGTTAATGTTGCATTTTCGGTATACTCTGTATTCTTTGGCAGGAAACGCCTCGACTTGAAAAGTGACTTTGCAAATCAACTTTTCTACCTGATGTCTATTAAGTTGTTCTTTTTTTTTTCAGGCTGCGATGTTGACTTGTGCACTGTGGCTGTCTCTCTCTGTCCGTATAGTCTATGCCGGAGTTGAGTAGGTGATTTCAGAGAGCTAGAGCATAGGGATGAGTGAACATCACAACACAAACTGTTTTTTAACTCAGGGCTTGGCACAGGCCCCTTTTCTCTTGGACAATTTCATTTTATTTCCTGCTGTTGCTATGAAACTGTTAACATAATGGTGTTTTCTAAATTTAATAAAGGCAGTTTTGAAAGTAACTTAATATGGAGTTTTCATTCATTACATGGATTTAGGTAATCTCTTAAAGAAGATTGTGAAGTTGTTTTCCAAACACTTCCTCCAAAGGTCATTCTGAATTAGTCGGTAAGTAGTTTTATGTTTGTGATCAGCGTAAGCTGCATTCTTAATCCCTGCCCTGCTACAAGATTCGTTGTCAAGCACCACTGCAACAACCTTTAAATTGTACTCTTTGGTTTGACTCGGTGTTGGGCTGAGGTAAACAACAGTGCAGTCATTCCTGTCAATTAGAGTGAAACGCTGTGAGCTAGTGCAGCCAGTAATCTATACAATGTGCCCTAAAGGAGCGCTTGGCCTTGTTTCGTAACTTTAGTCTAATCACTGAACGGTAAGGTTTAATACGGACCTCAGAATATGGTCAAGAAGTTTCAATAAACTGAAACAGAATATAGTAGAACTAATAGAAGACTCAAATTTGACTGAAGGCTAATTGGACATTTACATAAATTCCGAAACAAGGTTTTCATACACAGACAACTAATTTGTTATAATAATTATGTTGTCTGGGAATTTTGCTTATTCCATTTTTTCTTTTTCTTTTTTCTATGATGGAGTTGAACTGCCTCTCCTCTCGCTGTCTCTGGCTTCACCACAGATGCTCTTGTCCACCTGCTCTGGTCTCTGCTGGAGCATATGGTGCCCACAGTTTTGGCTTTGCTGTCACTGGGAACAGAAAAAAGGTTTGTGTCATCAGGTGAGCTGATGTTGTGTATTAAATCCTCATTATCTTCTTATTATATGGATTAAATGCATGCTGTTGTGTGTAGTCTCAATCTGAATTTGAATGTGATCCCCTGAACTTTGAATACCTGTCGTTAATGCTTAGCTTCATTTTTGGATGTTTGTGAGTTTTCTGATTTCCAATGGCTTTAGGGTGTCATTTGTAGTCATCTTTGATTTTTTCCATGTTTTTTGGCTCTATTAATAGCTTTTTGTGACATTTCAAAAGCTTTTCACAGCACCGGCCTATTGTAGAGTCCTTTTGATGCCACCATTTGCATCATTCTTTCAAATTCATAATGTAGAGGGTTTTAATAATGCCAAAAGAATAAGGATTTTTTTAGCTTGAATCTGAAATGTGCATTCATCGCACGTCGTACATTGATCAATTATTTTGAATTTTTTAAATAACTTTAAAAAAAAATCTGAAATGTATTTAACATAGCTGATGAAATATAAGTGATGGATCTTTACTTTAAATAACATGTAGTTCACTAAGATGGTGCAAAGTAGCAAGGGCAAAGACTTTTTTTTTTTTTAGGGTTGGGCAAAATGTATAAATGCAGTTTATTTGGTTGGATTGTAGCCTTTGAAACTCACCCTGAACTGTTGTATCTGTTATTAGTGGGCGATTATTTGAAATGCAATATCATAAACCATACACACTATTGACTGACACCATAAGTTGAATTAAAAGTCTGAGCTTCACTATTTTACAACAGTTCATTGTTGAATACGACTCCCACTGACGACTGCTGTCGTTGTGTCCTTGGGCAGGACACAACGACAGCTTTGCCTCTTTGCCTGAATTCCCTGCTGAATAATCAAGGCTGGTGCTATGTGTACTGGGTGCAGCTCTGACTGCCAACCCCCCGACTTGGATTAAGGGGAAGAAGATGGATGGATGGATAATTGTTAAACAAATATACTTTGACTCATTTTACAAACATGGCTCCCATTTTAATTCACACATTTGCTCAAAGGCATTTATCTGCCTAACCTGAACCACGTTCTAATCTTTGAGGATGAATAAGAGTCTATTTGTTTATATTAATTTATATTAATTTGAAAATAACCCTTGTAAGTCTGGTTTATTGCTCCTCTCTTCCTCATCAGCTCAGCCCCACTCCACCATATTTGGCCGTACTGAAGAAATAGATGAGTGAGAGGTTACGTCTCCACATCTGACACAGCAGCTCCGATTCAGCCGTGTGCCCTGCTGCCACACAGCTTCTACATCACTCTCTAAATTACTTAGATTTGTGCATTGTGTTTACATGCCCCACACACTCATGATATTGTCAGTCATCACGGTTTGATAGTAAGGCCTTGCTGTAGGGGAGGCTTGCTTGGTGCCGTGACTAAAGCTCCACCCGCCTCCTGTCATGAGGTAAAATAGTGCGTGTAGACACCGCCACACATCCCATGCTGTCCTCTGACCGCGTGTGAGCCTGTGTTAATAGTTATTGATCCCACTGATGGGCACTGGGCCAACACATCTCGTAGTAGATATATTTATTTTTAAAGCTGCCAGCTGGTATTAAACTCCAACCAAAGCGCTGTATCTATCTCCCATAAATATTCAATAAGGTCGCGTCCTCCATGATTCTCCATTATAATTAGTTCATGTTCTCTGCCTGTTCCCTCGTCCAAACACGTGTCCAATGGGCTTTGTGTTCTTAGTATTATTGTAGCAGGGTGAGCAGCTGGGTTGAAACATCTGGATAGCTGCATTTTTGCCTCATTTCGGGGGATTAAAGCTGCTATACCAAAAGTTGTTTCTTTGCTCCAACTATCCTTTGTGCATTTTTTCCTCCACACTTTCCCCTTGGTTTAATTTTTGTCTTCCGTGACTGTGTAATATATTGCACAAGAGCAATTAGCCTATTAATATATACTGCAGCCAGCACACTACCCAGCAACAGGGAATGAGCAGTGTAATGACCCTGTAGTGAAAGCGCCTATACAGATACAATGGAGTATTTCTTACTATAATAAGCTTACTTTTGTATAGTATTTAGTGACATCTTACAACATCAACATTCTAGAGCTATTCAAGAGGTGGGAACGGAAGTATATTTTGAAAGGCAAGTTCTTTACAAAACAAGAGAGGAAGCATTAAAATAAGATAAAATTATAATAATATCAACACAACTTAAAATAATTCATTTTAAATAAGGACAGATACATACAGAAAGAACATATTTAATAGTTTTAAATATTGTCAGAATAGAAGCTTCCCTTTCATTTCATTAACAATTCACATTACAGGAATTTCAAATGTAGGCTGTGTTTTTCACTTTCATGTGCAACTTCTTTCGACTCGAAGATCTCAAAATCACGGACTGGCAGCCGGCCTGTCCAGTATCTGCCATGCCTTCAACCAGACGCACGCTGGGATATGCATCACTTCTCCCCTGACAACCACAGAGCTGCAGCAAAAGAATATCAATTGGAGAAAGTACATTCTGAGAGAACACCAGTCGGCAGACTAGAAGGCCTAAACGCAGCAAGTTTTCCTTTGAGAGTATAAAAGCACCTCATTTTGTGAAGTGCACTGGGAGTAAGCGGGGAGAGGGGCGCCGTGGGGGGATGCGGTGGCCTCTCCGGGTTAAGCATCGTTCTGGTTTGCTGCTGTCCCTGCAGGATTGGGCAAAGCTGAAGTTTGAACGCATGTATAAGTGAGTACGAATAGTATTGGGAACACACCGGATATCTACTTTACACCCTGGAAGTGTGTGGAAAAAGGCTGAGATATATACTGTATATCTATATATAATACATATTCTCGCACACGCACACACACACACTGTTTATCTTGCATTAGAAGTTTTATTCTAAAATAAAATAAAACCTCTAAAGTTGTGCTGCACTTAATCTCATGTGTTGTGTGCTCCTCATTCCTACTGTCGTGTAATTTGTCATGACATTTCTTCACTGTGGGACAGAAATATATTGCATGCATGATTTGTTTTTCTTCGGTCACATCTTTAGATCAGCTTTTTCAGTGAAAAAGACCTCTATTGACCAATGTCATGTGTGTATAACAGTGTCCCCCAACCTTTTTGATCCGTGGCGCACCTTTTTCATTTAGAACATTCACATGACGCACTACTAGCAGAAACTGATACAAAGTCAGCTGACTTTGCTTTGCTCAAAAAAGTGTATTGTATAGAAAATAAAAGTCAGTCTAATCTTTTCACATTAGCTTCTTCTCACATTATTTTACCAATGAAGTGATATCGGATCAAAAACATACCAAATATCTCAAGACACACTAACGTGCCACGGCCCACTGCTTGAAAAACAGCATGTTGTCCGATTTGCTCACAAATCAAATGGAACAAAGTATTTATGAAACATCAAAGTGCTCCATCTTATAATTTTGTGTTTTTCCCTTCTGTTTTTGCCACATCACCAAAATAAACAATTTAGTGCATTCTGTGTTTGTGTTTTATTTTTATGGAGCCATATTCTCCAGAATTCTTAGGTTTGAGCTGTTCTATTTTGACGGTAATTACTGACAGCTTGTTTAATTCTCCACAAGCAGCATCTTCATTATTTTTCCTGAATCATTGTGCTATGGCAAGTTTCCCTTGAAATAATCAGTTTGGTCGACAAGTCTGTCCAACTGCCTGGAACAGATACAAGTAAAATGCATTTGATTTTACCCTGTTTTTGCAAGAGGTGATCTCTCTCCCTTCATTTTTATTGACGTCAAAGGTTTTTATTTAACAATAGTCAAAATAGAGACCTTTCTTTGCGACATGTTTTAGTTTATTTTGTCTGGTTTGTGTAAATAATATACACACAAATTGTAAGTGGGAAAACTCTAATTGTATATATTTTTCCCCCCATTGTTTTTGACCATTTTCATGGGTTTTTATGTTATTTTTATACTTTTGTATGTAGAAAAATTAGCATACCATGTATTTTTATAGTATTATACTTAGTTTTTATTTGTTGTGAATAGTTAGTAGCCTAAATATATCTAATTATATATGTATAGTTTATTCATTTAACAATTGGACTTAAACTATTTTAAATAAATCAATAGAATTATGGAATCTGCCCACTTGTCCAATTTGACCACAGTGATCACGTGAGTGTAATCTGAGGGGACAGACTGTTATTAGCCGTGCTCCAGAGTGATTGGTGTATCTGCTGTTTCAGCTCAGAACGTGCGTGGATGTATTAAAATACCCATGGCGTAAACTCTATTGTACGTCTACTGTCTATGGTCCCTGTCCTGCTGGATGGAAGGTTTCCATGGTTACTGGTTAATGACGCGAGCCTCGCTCGAGGCTAATGAGACGCAGGTAAGATGACAAGAACACGTCTCCCACCCTTCCAACAATAAATATGCGAGTTAGTTGGCTGAAGTTGAACACATAAGGGTGATTTAATTTCTCTATTACGACCCCTAGTGGCCTAAGGAGAGGTTTCAGTGATTCGCCAAAATAACTAAGTTGTTAACGTGTCTTTTTTTCCTACACAAACAAAGCAAACCGACTAACCGTGGTGATAGACCAGTGAACCGGGGTAAATACCGACTCTTTAAACCCCAGGAGGGACCATACACTGTAATGGAGGGACACAAGACATATTGTAGTCCTATAGACTCCATGACAAGTTTTTAAAGCGTCGGGATTATTATGGATTGAAACCACATGTTGATGGAGTCCTTAAGCATTTTACTCACACGGCCAGTAAAGCTTCATTTGGTACTGTCGACTGTGCAAGCTGTTTATCCTCGTTGGACAATCAGGTGTGGCCAGTAGAGGGCATCACTTCCTTAGGCCAGAAGGCAGAAATAGTCTGTTATTCAGACTGTAAATATCCTTATAGATTAAAATGTCAACTATAGATTCTACATTTTTCTATTTTTGTTTGAGTCTGACGCTGAGTATGTACTTGTCATCGCATTCAATCCCTTTCAGTTTTAGCTGAGTTCTACTTCTGCATGGACCTCTACATGACTCAGGAATTTGTGAATAAAACTGCAATGAATCAGCATGACTTGTCCCAAGGCTGAGTTTGTCGACATTTATTTCTGCTGACGGTGTAAGTTACTAAACCTAAAGACACTGTTTTCTATGGAACTAGAAATACTTTCGACACAGGAGACAAATCACAATAGTCTCACACAATTATTTACAAAACAACTGTTGTCCAACACAATGCTGAGGCGTGATTAAGACCCAAGCAGAGAAGATTTTGCAGGAAATGTCACATGCATTTATTTGGACAAATCTGTTTTTCTAATATCTGGACCTCAAGAATCTTTACTTTGGCTTTATCTGGATCAAATTTACATCTCATTTGCATTTGAAATAGTCAAAGATTACATTTTTGACTCGATGCACAGCATTAGCTATGGGATTGTTGTGGATCCAATGAAATGATCTGTTATCAGACATGTGAAAAAGTAACTGGCTTAATATGATACGAACAGCCCTCATTGGTTCTCAGAGTTAGACTGACCATGAAGGATTATTTATTAATAATTTAAGTATTATCAGACATAATATATTTTCTGAATAGACTACTTGTTTTGTTTTAGACCTCTTGGGTTTTCGTGCCTCAACTGATGGATTCAAGCATTTGGCTGATGGTTGACTTTAAAACCGGAAACTGTTCTTTTATTGAATTACACTCCAGTTGTTCCACAGATACCGTTGTCCAGATCCCAAGACCAATGACAGAAGTGGCCTGTTGTGTCCACACATTACTAACCATAAATGAGATAGTGTGTTGCAACTTGGAGGAGGATACAGCAGAAGTGGGGATATAGGGTGCGGCCACACTTATGTTCAGCCCAGTTTACCAGAAAGGTCAAAAATTTTTCATTTGTGGAACCACCAAAATGACCAATGGAACAGTATTGTCTGAATGAACTCTTGAACTTTATTGACAAGCTGTGGGACAATGGTTCTCTTATCTTATGAACTAGTATTATAAATATTTATTATATCTTTCTCTTAAAGCCCAAACCCTCACTGGAAACTTCTCCAGCCGCAGTTACAGGAGCTATGGCAAACCCACACCCGCTCCAAAGGCGAGGCTTATGTGACAGCTGAGAAAACAGGCGTCTAAATCAGCTCACGGACACTGACACCACTTCCACTCGAACAGAGGAACTCCACCTTTTGGAGCAGCTTTTCTTCAACACACATTTGAATGTGGGGGGGTTCAGACTGAAGCGTCTGCATATTCAGTATAACTGCTCTAACCTCAGTATGGGACCACTTTATACAAATAAACTCAACATCTTTATTAAAACAACCTTTACTCTCACAGAGAGAACATTCTAACTCAAAAAATAAAAAGGAAAAATTAAACTTACACAATAACATTAAAAAAATACATTTTTATGGTGCAATCCTTTTGATGCCCAAGTGCTACATATTAGAAGATATAAAAAAACAAATAATAAATTGCATGAAACATATAAAACACCAATTTCATGTTGAACATTTCAGTAAGATTTTCTATAAAAAGAGCATAATTCCTCAACCATAAAAATATGTACATTTTCTAAACATTTTTACATTAGAATAAAAATGGCCTTATCATTTTAGAGTTAATATTATGTGCCTCCTGCTAATTTATTAGTACTTCTAATATCAATACATCAGATGGCAGGAGTGATTTGAGGAAAAAATCTGTATTCCTGAACTGTTGCACTTACACCATTGTCTAAGAAATATATGAAAAAAATTCAACAAACAAGTTGTCATTTGGGCTAAGTGTTCCGCATAGAGACGTTTCAAAAACAAAGACACATTGTCAAAGTGATGCCTTAATTACAACATTTTGCAAGCCTATGATCCAAATGTAGCTCTTAAAACTTGTTGATAACCACTTTCACTTCGCAGATGGCCTGTGTGCATGGAACCCTAATTAACGGCACTCGTCGAGATAGGTCTCGTGGGACGGTCGTTATCTCTAGAGCATCCTGTCTCGTTCACTGTGCACTAGAGATGTAGGCCTCCTGCTTCCTCTGCCTTCTCCTCCTCCACACCAGGACCCCCATTAGCAGCACGGCCAGCAGACCCAGCGCTCCTCCAGTGAGACCTAATTTGAGAGGTAAGCTCCTGTCTTTGGGCTGGTACATGGTACAGGACGCCTGGCTCTCCCCTGCATCATTCACTGCACTCACACACACTTGGGTAACATGATCCACTGTCCCTATGCTGCCTCTGCGTTTGTCTTTGCTGAATTTATACCTCTCTTGTCCCCCTACTGTTACTACATAGTCTGTGACATATGAAAGTGGCTCACACCATTCGACCATCACCTCGGACCCGTTCAACATCACAGATCCTAAATACGGAGCTATTGGGGAGACGTTATTTACGGTGAAGCCAGGACACAAACACCCTTCAGTGATTGACAGCTCAAAACATGAAGGCTGGTTCTCAAGGCAAGGTTTATAGTCACATTTTTTGAATCCTCCTCCTCCATGCGTAGGTATAATTGGTGCAGATGTAGTGACACCGAAGTCATAGTAGTCTTCGGGCACAATCACAAAACCTTCTGTTGGAGATCCCAGTAGAGTAAAAGCATCCAGTGAGCCGAACTCCGGGGGTTGGGACGTCATGGGTAGAGAGCTAATCGTTTTGAGGAGGCAAATAAATACCAGGGGAAAAGGATGGTTGGCAGCCATAACTCTCTGTGGAGAAAAGCCAAAAATGTGTCATCAGTTTTGGAAAATCTGTTTTATGCATTTCAGTGAAAAAAATGAGGGATTTACTGTACCCCTGGGTTTGAAGCTGTTTGTGGCTCATATTCTGTTTAGTACATAAGAAGACAATTTCTAACTTGCTGAAACGTACTGCTATCCACATTTTTCAAAACACTGGTGACATTGTCTTCTGAATACAATTGAGGAAAGGCACTTGAGGACATAAACTTACAATTTGTTTCCTCTGTCTTCCGTCCACAAATAGTCTCTTCATACTCTATTTACACTGTGCCATTATGCGTTCATTCGCTAATGAGTTTGTCGTCTTTTATACTAATAATAAAATATATTAAGCTTCAGGAACAACTTGCACATTTTACTTGATTAACATTCCAAACCACATTGCTCAACAGAATGCCGACACACATGCTTGAATGACACTGTCCAGGCAGCTGTATCTTGTTACATCCTCAGAAATATTTGGAGAAAAACAATACCTGAACCAGTGGCGAGATCAGCGGACAGCACCAGAATAAATAAGCTATGTGAAAAATGAATGGACTTTGCACTGAATCCTTGCATATACACTCCCCAAGCCACGCTGAATTCCAAACAAAGAGGTTCTTTGTGCTTTCCAGCTAAAAAGTGGATGAGTTAAATGAACTTACCTCTCTGGAACAAAAACTTCAGTGTGATATATTTGGTCCTTCCTCATCTACCACTTGTTACTGTCTGTCTCATGGCCGTCTTTTATATGCCGTCAGCACTCCCCAAAAAGGATCACCTCCTTCTTTATGCCCTCCCACAATCCCCTCTCCCCCCTCCCTGACCCATCTCGTCCAGTCAGCCCTGTGCTCCTGATTTTAAATGCCTTGGTAATGAAAGACTGTGAATGCGATTACTATTGGATGCATCACATGTTGCTTATGGTGAGCCACTCTCTCGTCTACAGCAAAGGGTTTGTTCTCGGAATTAGGGAACGGTCCTGGCATGTTTGGTTTCAAGGTTTTTGTTGGACCTACTCATTCCCCATTCCCTGATGGCTTATCGCTATCTTTTCATCGGCTAAACCTTTCACCTGATTGAAATGTATGACAAAACATTTTGGCTCTCAAATGAACTGAAAGAGGTTTGTCTAAATATGGGTAATGGACCGGCCTCGACTTGTTATACCAAATGTATTCTGTTTCAAGAAGAAGAGAAAACTTGTAGTATATTTGTTTGCTTTTTCAGTATAGCCATTGTAAGAAAACCACCAACTTTCACATATAGTGACTTTTTAACTTGTATACAGTTGTGCTTAAAAAGTTTACACACCCAGCCCAGATTTCATTTTTCTGGTTATATACTTCAGAAAACACTTGTTAAACCTCATTCGGCTGATCTGAGGATGTTCATGCAAAGCCATCAAAGAATTTACAGGAACTGGAAAAATGGGCAGCTTTACCATCAGAGCGGATAAAAAACCTCATCCTCAACTACCTCAGAAGATGTTGACCCATGTTTTGCGTTGAAAGACGGGCTAAGGAGACGGTGTTAACAGTCAATGCGTTGTGGAAATGATAATATATATGACGACTTTTTAATAGATTTACTTGAGCTCAATCGTAAACTATATGTGAAGGCTGATGGGTCTTTGCTCATGTCACGGCTGCTCCCACCACATTCTAAAGACAACATGACTTACTCATTAGATAAGCCTGAAAAAGGTTCATTCAACCATTTTGAAAAAATCTTAAAAAGTGATGGGAGGTAATGTTAAAATGTCTTTAGGCCTTTTGGAATTTGTGGTAATTAAAAACAGCAATCATGTTCATCTGATTGTTAACTTTACGTGATACACTTATTTTCATATCCTTTTCAAAATTATTTCGCCATCTTGTGGCATAACCGTGGCCCTCAGTTAGTCTGACCGGCTCTCTTACATGGAAACCACTCACGCAATGTACATTAATTATTTATAATGATTTGTTAATTGATTTCATTTGACAAAAATGAGGACACTTGAAAAGTGAAGAGAGAGAACACGGGAGTGTCATCTGCGGCCTTCTATACCTCAAGGGCTTTATATCAGAGATTTTGTCCGGTATGAAAACCCCTATAATATTTTCAAAGTAGAAAATATGTTTAGTGAAGGGGTTGCAGGAGTGCTGCACTGGATCAAACAAAAGTAAAAACACTAACAGGTGCTCATCCGACTCAAGGGTTTGAGGAAATTTCTTGCAAAAGAAAAAATGGAGAACTGTGTCACTGCCCTGACGAAGACTGTGGTTGAAACACGTCGGTCATTAAAGAGAACACAGTTCTCAGAGTGCCTCCTTCTCCATTTTTTCTTTTGCAAGTAGAAAATATGTTTAATTGACAATAAATGGCTTCACACAACCACAGAGAATGAGTTGAAAAAATGTGTTTGTGTCATTTGCAATCTCTGAAATACAGTATATTTAGAAAATGTTCTGCCTGCATGATGTATAATCTTTCAAGCACTTTATACTGTATATTTTTCTATATAATCATATATTTTTATGATCAGGTGGTCTGTTGGTCTGGGCCACTGGAAATAAAAGTGTTCATGGTTTTTCTCTGGTCTTTTTGACTTAATTAGGTCTACAAGGAATACTTGAACATGCTGTAGCACTCACGGTAATGACAAATATTTAGTTTGGAGTTGTCCGTCTGAAGCTGGGCCTCCAACCTCCTGATTATATCCATGTTTTTTGGTTGAGTATTTTACAGACAAGGTGTGGGAGTGTGAAGCAGAATAATCTCTCAAAATCCAACCCATTTTTTTATTATTATAATAATAATGTGCTTATAGTGTGTATTTATTGCATTCATTGTGTTGTTTCATGTCTCTTTTGTTAGACAGGATTGAAAAGAGTGACTAACTTACTCTTCACTTGCCTCAGACTTAAAGTATCGATGTGACAAAGAGTTACTTGAGAAATGAAGTCAGTCATATTTCAGCTGTGACACAGTCCTATCCCGCAGATGGAAATGCTTAAACAGTTTGTTGCACAAAGAACTGCCCCGATTTCAGCAGAGAAAAAACCCTTCAAACCCCTTTCCTGCGTTGCTGTGGTTGCGTGACTGGTGTTTTCCTCATCAGATTTTCCCCCACAGTGATGAAAATTATAGCAAATTCTTATTACTGTAAACAGCAAATGGAATCTTATTATTAGGGTGAGTTAACCTAGAAAGTATTTACATTTGTTGAATTAATTGTTCTCATATAAAGGATAAATAAGTACTTTGGAGAATGTATAGTTTGCCTTTTCCTGTTGTATGCAGTTAGATAAGTGTCACCTGTTAAAAATAATGTGGCACCACCTGCATGTGAAAGCCAGACCCCGTCAGACCTCTGAAGCTAAGATTAATATTAAGTGCTTTATTCGTCTCAAAGTGTGGAAATTTCAATGTTGCATCACCGGTAGAACAGTAGGAATGAGGAGCACACAACACAAGATAAATGAACATTAACTATACTAAATTAAAATAAAATTATATCTAGCTTCAGCATGATAAAGAAGCAAGTTTAAAATACTGTATATTTTAGTGCAAGTAAAATATATGATTATATGTATTATTGTAAAAAATGACGTGTTCAAAATCCCATATAAAGATGACCAGTATTCGAAAAGTTAAATCCAAAAAGTTTATTCCCTGATACAAAGAGTCTAAACCGCGGTCTGGACTTAGTTAGCTCTCCCTCTCCAATCTATATATGAGTATAAAGTCAGGCGCTCTTGACTTTATACTACAGGTCCCTTGTCCAGACTAGTTCACAATTTCTACATAATACAGTTTTATAAATGTGCTGAAGATCAGGACTCGTCCCTCGAAGACGTCATGGGCTCCTCATCACCTCAGTCCCCGAGACAGGATTTTTGTCTCATGCGAAGCAGACACATCGTTCCTGAAAAGGTTACTTTTGCACAGAGACCAGCCTGTCCTTGAATTCTCACTGACCGCACTAACACATTAAACAAAGGCCTATTATGCAGACACTTACTGATAATATAAGAACATTTTATGGAGATACCTATAAGAACATTTACTGATCAATATAATTGTTAGTACATGTGATTATTGGTAATATAAATTGTTATGGTGGTTATACTTTATTCACTCTTGTCTGTGTGTCAGCATGTGCATGTTATTCACATCAGTATACAGCTGTACATGTAAAGTGACAGTGGACACGTGGTTTCATATTGCACATTCTGACATTGGTGTAAGTTATTGCACAGATGCACAATCGTGAGGTCAGGTCGGTAGTGTTTATTAGTCCCATAATAGATCCATGGTTAGTCCTCATCGTTCAGAGCAGGGCCCGGGTAGGGTAGTACTGTGATGGGAGACTCCTGGTACCATTAGATGCCACGATCGGATGGTTGTGGCTGTTAAGTGGCAAAAATGTTATGTCCTTAGTTAAGACCTTGGCCTAGAAGGAGTCTGGTGTGCACATGAAAGTGATTGGTGGTGGTTGATGATGTGCCCCAGGGCAGCTATGACTTCAGTAGTTTGTCACCATTGGTTTTTTTATGGAGTGAATGAATAACAACATGTGATGCACCTTTGAGTGTCCAATATATGAAGTAAAAAAATTCCCTGATGCATTAAAGATTTTTGTTTACTTTGTGGGGGATTTGTATATGATTTCACAAATTATGAGAGGTATGTTAGGTCCGGGAAAAAAAGCCCTCCATACTTTCAAATTTATTGTTTCGACCACCGCATTTTGATTAGTCGTTTTTACTGCACATTTCAGAGAGCCACGATGCACAAAGAGGAGTACAGCAATTCCCATTCTAGCATTCCCAGATGTGTTGTCTATTTATATATAATCCCAATTAATTTAAATTGGGGGTAATATTATTTTTTTCTTGGACCATAGAAGTATACAGTGACCGTCTGTGAGAGACAGAATCAAGTTTAAAATATTTTACTTTTAACTATTTGCCAACTATATAATTTCATCATTTCAAAGTAAGATTGTTGATTCTGCCATCCCAGGAATGATACATTTATACAGTCATGGATATATCTAGAATATTTACTGCAAGACAAGAAAAACGTGGTCTGTGTTTGTTTCAAATTGACTTTCATTTTTTGATTGCATATGTTGTATTGAATCTTTAAAAGACAAGTAAGTAATTATTTGGCCGTTATCTAGAATATTATAGCCGGGCGTCATTTTGCGTCATTACTATGCGACAAACAACTGTAGTTTACGCTGAAGTGCACTTCATGATAACAAAACACGGGTGAGTTTCAGGCTTTACAAAGGCGGTAGAGGAAGGACGCGTCCGATCGAAGACCGTATGTCGTTTTAATGTCGAAGAAATCTTCTATAGGTGACGTTACTGACGTTAACAGCGTAACGTAATCGTTCTACTGTACTGATGTTGGCTAACTAGCATTAAGGCCCAGTAGATGTCCATCGTCTTTGCCTAGAAGGAGGAGTGAACCAACAGTGTCATTAATGACCAATCAGTCTAAAAAGGAAGTGCACATGTTTTGTCTGTGGACAGTTTGAAATTGCGTTCAACATAATCCAAGTTGGAATGGTCTCCAGGCGCACGGGGTTTGTGGGAATCATGGCGTCCTCCGCGAACAGCGTCTGCGGCAGTGCTATGAGCCGAAAGACAAACACAATGGACGTGTGTGATAGGACTGGGTCTGAGTCGTGTTGTGGCAGAAAAGCTGAAAAAACGACATGTAGCTCTACGCAGGGCAGCATGACTGTTACGTCGCTGAAATCTCGGTTGGGGCCGACCATTCACACAGCCATGTCCGCCGCGGTTGATGCTCTTTTGGGTGAAGTGGTGATAGTACTGAATGAGACCCAACTGGAGATGGTCCACAAGGAAGAGGAGAATGCAAGGCTGAAAGTCCGTCTGGAGGTATCTGAGCGGGAACTAAAGACTTTACAGGACTGTCTGTGTAGTGCACAGAAAGTCATAGATCAACTCCAAATCTCCTACTCGGGTGCTCATGTGGTCAGCCAGCCTGTTTTTGCACCTTCACTTTCTTCTATGACTGGCATGCAGCGAGACTCTCAGAATCAGAGGAATGTGAGCGGTCCTGACCTGGGACTTGGAGGATCAGCTGATGAGTCTCTTCAGGGATTTGGTCTGAGTAACGATTACAAGATGGGCCACCTATCTATCCAGCCTGACGGCTCTGTGACCAATCACAACATGGACTCTTTTGGATCAAATATCTCCCATATGTGCTCTAACTCCAAAACAGGTAACATGTTTGATCACTCTATACTGTATATACAAACATTTGTAATATTAATACGTATTTTGATTCATTTTGCTTAGATGAGAGGCAGTCCCACAGGCCAGTATCAGTACATCGGTTTGAGATAAAGGAAGAGCAAAGACCTGTTCCAGCCTCAGTGGAGCCCAAGAAGAAAGACACCGGGGGAGGAGGTGAACAGGGGGCTCAAAATGAGCATGGTTTTGTCCAGGTTGGAGGAGGAGGGCCATCGCAGCACTGCTTTCCTCAGCCGCTTCGTGCCCAAAGATCTTTGCAAGACTGTAATGCTGCCGTCTCTGCAGATGAACTTAGTGACCTGAAAATAGTGTCTGTGACTTCGATGACATCCAGTATCTCACCAGGTGAAGCAGAGGACATAGCTGGACCTTCAGGAGTGGGCTCAGCAGCTGGTCCCTCAGTTGACAGGCCACACCACTGCATAGAGTGTGGCAAGACGTTTCGGCTGGTCTCCAGTCTGAAAAAGCACATTCGTATCCATACGGGTGAAAAGCCATACCCATGTGGCGTATGCGGTCGTCGTTTTCGTGAATCTGGAGCTCTGAAGACACACTTGCGTATTCATACAGGAGAGAAACCCTATTCGTGCTCAGAGTGTGGCACATGCTTTCGACACCTGGATGGTCTGCGCAAGCACAGACGCACACACACAGGCGAGAAGCCCTATGTGTGCAACATCTGTGGAAAACGACTGAGTCGACTGCAGCACCTCAAGCACCACCAGCTCATCCACACGGGAGAGCGGCCTTGTTGCTGCCCCTTCTGTAACCGCACCTTCAAGGAACCTGCGGCGCTGCGGAAACATGTTCGAACACATCAGGAGGAAGTCAACCACATGGATATTGGTGCCAGTGAGGACCAACATCAAGAGCCCATTGATGATATGAACAACCTCCACCCGACTGCTCCTTCTCCCCAGATGAGGTTTGAAGGGTGGGGAACAGAAGAGGACAGTGCAGGGGTCGACTGTGTTTAAACACATCTTAGATTACAGAATTGCTGTGATCCTATGTAACTTCAGTTCTTCAAACTGCATGCATCTTTCTTAGTTTAAAACCACAATCGTAACTACACATACATATTCAACAGTCCACATTGCAAAATCTTTTAAAATTATTCTATATTTTTGAAGAATTAAAAAACATTTGAGATTACTCATTCACTCCCTACCTGCTGGTGATTAAACTGTTACTAGAGCCACAGTTGCCCTGGGGCCCACTGACAGAAATGAGGCAACCAGTATGTGTCGTTGCCCATTCGACCACCACCAACCATTCACACATTTTAGGCAATGTGGGTTACGAACAGTTTGGCAATTTACAGCCGCAGCCACCCCACCATGGCACTTCTGCCCTAATAATAAGTAAACTGAAACTGAAACCTGGTCTTCCCAGAGGTCTTCCAACACAGTGATAACCGGCTCTTGATCTGCTTAACTTTAAAGGTCTAATGGTATCTTGCTTTCACATGCAGATTGGCCATTATCAATGTGGCCAATCTGGACCAAATGTAAAAAGTATTTAAAAAAAAGAACTTTTAAGAGGAAGATTGGTATACAAGATTGCATATGTAGCAACACAAATAAGTACTGGACCATCAAGCATTCATGTGTTGTGGTGCATGGACTAGTTAGGGCTCTGTGTATTTGGGATGGTTGCATTAACAACCCTCACCACTAGATGTCCCTAAATACCCCAACACTGCAGTTATATTCTCCTCATCACTGTGTATGATTGTGCTTTCGTAATGGAATATACTAAAAATCAGATGTTCTTTCCATTTCACATTCCACAGTAATTTTTATTTTGTACATGTGCTCTAAATGTGCCCTTAGCTTCATGGTGGTTTTAGAAGTAAATATGTATTATACTGTATGTATGTTTTATAGTATAATGTTGTTCAGTACATCAGTTTTATTTATTTTTATTTTTTATCACATGGTAGAATTGAAAGTCAGAACCAAAAAATACTGGACTGTGGACAATGTGTTATATATGACTATCGTCAGCTCATATCTCACTGTGAAATAAAATTTAAAAGATTTCAGTATTCTATTTTTTTTTTTTTTTTTGCATTGACATAGAATATTAAAGTTTTTTTAAGGACTTGTTTGGGCATGTGTTTCTCGTTGCACATGAATTAATTAGTTATTACATGAGTGATCCATGTCCGTCTGTTGGTGTCATGGATCTGTTGAAAGAATATGCTACCTATGAGTTTGCCAATTCTTTTTGTTTGTTTGAATCTGTTTTGGGAGTGCTCAAAAGGAGAGTAGTTTCCACACCGGTGCATTGGCAAACAAATTGTGTAGGTGTTGCAGACACGCCCCAAGGCAACATCAAAATAACAATTTCCTACCATCCCATTGCACTCTAATGACAGCTGACTTCTAAGTATCATTTGTCCTTTCCTGATCATTAAAGGGGTTGAGACAAAAACACTGTCAATGTAGAAAATGTTTCGAAACCATTTAGATGAAGTGACATTACCTCTTTTGGTTCAGAAGATTCTCTCCGGGACAGTGTATGAGTAGTGAACTTAAAGAGACTGATTTCTTTCATTTATGCATGTTTTTGCATGAAAGAGGCTTTATTCAAACAGTAACGTTATTGTGCCGCTTTTGAAGATTATAGATATGTCCCAATTAACATGTTTTGGCATAAAAAAAGATGTACTGGGTTAAGGTTGTTCTGCTGAACTGGGAGCACACATCCCGTTGATCCTATGGGTGTATTTTTGAATGCATAGTGTAATACAGATTGCAAAGCATGATTTCCTTTTGTACAATAACTTTAAATGAGAGTTTTCACGTGTCCTTTCCCGTCTCATATTTGTTTTTATTGCTGCATTTTACGTGTGATCGTAGTATGATTTATATTGAGTAGCCTGGCATTAACTAAACTTAGCCCATTTTAACTTGGTGGATGTGAACTTGTTCCAACAGAAACTGTTGTTGCATATAATTTTAACAGTTTCCCCCGTAACGTGAATACATGGCCATAAACATTTCATAAATCACTTAAATTGCGTTATAATGACTTGAATTTGTACTATCATAATTTCAGTGTTGCTGTAAATAATGCTTATCACTGGCAGCAGCTCAGTCCTGTTGAAAACCACTGAGGCCAATGCAGTGATTTCCTGAATGACTCAAAGAAAACACATTCACTTTAAAACAGGAAATGACTTTGCCAACAATTCTCCACTTTTCGCCAGCTTTCTTTTGTGATCCTCTCCCTGTGGAAACTTGGCCTCAATAGTTAATTTGAAACAAACTGGAGCAACAATACAAAGTAAAATTTGTTTTAAGAATGGTGGAACTCTAATCGACCTGAAAGCATACAGCAAAGAATAGCACTTTGTTGTTTAGGCTATATATGTTGCAGTTAAACTTACCTTCAAAACACTATAAACCTGCAGCTCTAAGGAAGGAAAACACCATTGACTTTAATATAGGTTGAGGGATATGGTAAAACGATTAGCCTGTCAAATGAAAGGTGCATGGACATAAATGATGTCTAAGTGTCATTTACTGAGTAGTGCACACAGTTGTAGTTTACAGAGGGGTCTGTATTGGACCAGGGAGGAGGTGGTGTTGGGAGAAATGACCAACAAGGAAACCACTTTTCGCTTTGCTCCTGCGCCGCCTGACTGGCCCCGGGCCAGCTCTCCAGAGAGGGCTGGCTCACCCGTCTCATTCTCCACTCTCTCCTCCCTTCTTCGTGTCTCTCCCAAGCCCAACACGCACTCTATCCAAAGTCTCCAAACTGGGACAACCCCAACAACAACGCACAGACTTGAGAAACGTGGACCGTCCAAATATGCAACAAGTTTGTATTTGTACGCGCAGACCGCTACGGTACGCAGAGGACGTGAGAAAGTAGTTTTTTTTTGTTTTTTTTTGTGTGTGGAGAATATACGCGGGGACTCGCTTTTTTCCGCCGTATGAAACGTCAGACTTGTGCCTGGGATCACAAAGCAGGCACAGCTGGTCTGGATGCCCCGGGAGCTGGTGGAGAGCAGTGAAAGGATGCCAGGATGCCCCCAGTGATACCGGTGCATGTGCTGCTGCTTTGGCTGAGCGTCCCCAGGCTGGTGTGGGGCACAGAGCGCGCCTCGACCCGGGAGCGCTTCAAGGTGGTCATCGCACCTCTGGTGTGCAAGCGCATCTGTCTGAAAGGCCAGTGTCAGGATACCTGCGAACAGGGCAACAACACCACATTAATAGCGGAGAATGGCCAGGCGGCGGACACGCTCATTGGACAGGGCTTTAGGGTCGGTGAGTACCACTGCAAAGGATTTATTAGTGAGATCCTAGTCATTATTGACAATACTGGACCATGAATTTGTTATTTGACACCTTTCTTCAGACTTCAGATGGTCAAGAATCTGCTACAAACAAGAGCCACATTCGGTTCTTCTGGGCTTCTGGCTTTAATAGTACCTAAGTGTTTAATAAGTATAATATTTAACCTAAAAATGCATCCATTAGCAGTTAATTACATTTTTAATCAACCTTTATTTAGTTAAGGGAGTTACACTGTCATGCACAGAACAATTTTTCTATTGGGGTTCCAAAAAGATTAATAAAATAAAATAAAAATGAATTATTAATAAATTGTACGAATAAACTATATTATTCAACAATATATTCTTTTGGAAGGAGGTTGTTCATAGTCTCATTTTGCTTGTTTATACGCTAATAATCTATCATGTTTCCATCAAGGGCAAAACTGAACATTGCAGTGTTTGATTCTGATTGTCTAATCTACCTCTAGAAAATCAAAATTTCCATGCCCTTTCAGTCGACTGCTGTGATTTTGGAAGGTTCAAACATTATTTTATTTTTTGTGTGTAAATACTGATAAATGGGATGGAATTCCCTTTTTATAAGATAAAAATTGTGATTCAAACATACTTCAAACCATTTCTACAACTTCTATACAGGACTATGTCCCAAAATGTATGATTGGATTTAAAACTTCAAACTTATTTACATCTTGAACATTAACAGTAAAAGACAAACTTTGTCTGATTGGTGACCTCTTGTTTCCTTATTCGCTTGTAGATTCGGTTAGTAACTCTCATCTGAATAGGTGAGTGAGGTGGGGTGAACCTCCTGTGCCACTCAGGAAAATGCTGTATATTACACTTTAATTAGTGCAGCATGGCTCATTACATGCATATAAATGTTCTCTCAGAAGTATAGGCCTGCCCTGCCTGAGTATTTTGCCATGAACTGCTGCTGTATCAGATCAGCTGTGGTGAGACACGGAGCCACACAGTCTACATCAGGACGGCCCACAATGGGTCCGACTGATGCTCTTTTTCCTCTACATCACTCTATTAGGACTTGAGGCACAGAAATCACACAGCCAATGTACAGGCGCAGACATTACATCTATTTTTAGTAGGCATTCTTTAAGTAAGTAAGTAATGATTATTAATATATAGCGCATTTTACAGACCAAGGTCACCCAAAGCGCTTTACAATGTTCAGAGTTCAGATATTGTTCCAATCATTCCACACACAGTGATGACGGAAGCGAGTCACCGAACAGACTGGTGCATCAGCCCCCAATCAACACCATCCATTCAGTCTCTCATTTACATTCATACCTATTGTGCATGTTTTTAGTGGTATAGGGGAAACCGGAGCACCCGGAGGAAACCTACGCAGACACGGGGAGAACATGCAAACTCCACTCACATTTCCAAGATAATTACTCAAAAACAGTTGACCAAATAATCGTAATAAACATATAGGTATTATTCTGTGTGAAGTTGTCAGTACTAACTTTATTTGTATAGTGCATTTATACCAACCCCAGCTGCCCTAAGTGCATCACATGCACAAAAGCTGCTGTGGACCATAAACTGTAGTGACCAGAAGATGTATTTGAGACCAGAGGCTGTAGTCAACACCAGAGGCTGTACCAGAGGCTGTACCAGAGACCAGAGGCTGTACCAGAGACCAGAGGCTGTACCAGAGACCAGAGGCTGTACCAGAGACCAGAGGCTGTACTATAGACCAGAGGCTGTACTATAGACCAGAGGCTGTACTATAGACCAGAGGCTGTACCAGAGACCAGAGGCTGTACCAGAGACCAGAGGCTGTACCAGAGACCAGAGGCTGTACCAGAGACCAGAGGCTGTACCAGAGACCAGAGGCTGTACCAGAGACCAGAGGCTGTACCATAGACCAGAGGCTGTACCAGAGACCAGAGGCTGTACCAGAGACCAGAGGCTGTAGTGACCACACTGCTTTGTGTTTTGTAAAACATACCTTCAAATCACTGTGCCAAACATCACAATAGCTTGGGTCAGCAAAGCTGGAGGCTTATAATAAAACTATAGGAAATGAATATAGTCAGTTTGTATTTATCACTCAGTTTTAGGGTGTTAGACTTATTTTGGTCAGGTGTCACAAGTGGGTTTCAGAGTGGCCAGTTTGTTATATATATACAGTATATAAAATTCTGGTAGATTTTTCTGAACAAATTTAGTATAGTTTATGTTTTCATTGAAAATGTAACTGAAGGTAAAAAGGCTAATTACAGACTGATAAATAAAGCCAATGATTCTTGTTTAAAAAAAAAAAATCTATGTCTAACGTGCCGGGTTCCAATTTTTATTGTTTATCTGCCTTGAAAATTGGCCTTTCTTTAATTGACAAAGTTCTAATGAGGACATTGAACGTCTGATATGAATATACTGATGCTCACTGTATCATGTGAGCATCTTTGAATGATAGTCAATCAATCAATTTTATTTGCCTGAAATCACAACAATAATTGTCTCGTGGGACGTCACAAAACCACCAACTCCCAACGGCAGACAGCGGACCAGTTCTCAGGTCCAGGTAGTCCAGTGTTTTGAGCCTCACCAGTGCTTTCATGGAACAGACAGAGGGACAACGGGTGAACAGCAAGGAACAGGCCACATTTAAGCATCAAGTCAAATTGGCCGTGAAAACGAGGTCCATTCATCCTGCAACTTGTGGGTTAAAAACTGTTTAAAATCGACATTTGGAAAAAAATTAAATAAACTAGGCCTGTCTCTCTAAGCGCTACACTGAAGTCACTTTTCATTCACTCCACGCTCGGTGGTGACAGAATTGAGGCCAGTTTGTGCCATCGGCCCCTCTGGCCACCATCACTCACTCACCAGATTCGTATGATGTGGGTGGTGGGGAACCCCGAGTGCCTGGAGGAAACCCACCCTGAGACTGGGAGAAACATGCAAATCCTGCATACAGGATGAAACCCTCAACCGTGTTGCTGTGAGGCATGAATGCTAGTGCCAGTGCTTTATAGAAGTGACTTTCCCACTGACTTTGTGTGAACATTTTTGGCTGGCTTTTATCGCCCTAATTTCTCTACTCTGCGTCATGCTTTGGAGCGTCTGTGTCAAATAAGTCAGGAGTGCCAGTGAATTCCTCAAATACCACAATTTTATTTTCCATTTGGAGTGCATAGATTGTGCTTTACAGTCATTTCTTTACATCTTTGCAGCAGAGATCCATCTAAAAATGGCCTTGCAATATGGGCCACCGGAATGAGGCACCAGAAGAGTGGATGTAGAAAACCGTGGTGTTCTCCATGAAGCCTGGAATGTGGTGCGGACAAGTGGAAATTTCTCTCTCCCGTGTTAAAACGGCCGTGGCAATAGCAGCAACAATATGAAGAGTTTTCCATATTTGAGCAGTTGTGACATCGGCCAAGGGAAGCTGAAAACTGTAGAAACTCTGACAATTAAATTTTATAGAGAAGAGATGCAGACTCTCCAGACCGTTAAAAAACTGAGCAGCTTTTCATGACCCTAGATTGAAGGCTAAGAAGTACACCAACATTTTTCTAACTCCACCTGAATTTGCGTTTGTGCACTTTAAGATGCTCAGATTTTATCAAAAGGCATTTATCATAATTATATCCGCAATGTTATTTTCTATAAAATTTTCATTTATTTCTATTGCAGCCATTCTGTGCAAGGTGTCGGCTAAATATTTACATGATTCATGATTACGGTACTTACATTATATTTCTTTGGCTTATTATTGAATAGTACAACTTACAATACATTACATTTTACTAAGTGCCATTTTGCATGGTTGACATTCTTACACATATTTAAATTATATCAAATGATGGTGCTTACACTTTATAAGGGAGGGAGGTTATTATGATGGTGCAGTTTAAACAATAATGCTCTGTTGCGCACATGCTGTTTGCTTGCTGATTAGAGTCTTGTAACCTCGAGTAAAGACATGTTTCATGAGACGGACTGTAATAATCAGCCTGGCTTAAACCTGGATGACAATAAAGCCCTAATGTCGCCTTTACATGGAGCGAGTGTTACACTGAACTCATTGTTAAACACAGACAGAAGGATTATACAATCAGCCTTTGGCCTGTGAAAGCAGCATTTACATTTACTTCCATGACTACATTATTAGACAAGAGCACTCTCAAACATAACAATAGTGTCTCTAAAAACAATATATTCTATAGACTAACGACTTTTGTGAAACAATTCAAGCGAGCATCAATGGCAGATTAACAAGATTAGTAAACTGTTATTGGTATAACTAGGTAAACGTATTAATCTCTCATCGTGCCTCATGTGCATGCTCTTGATGTGTACGCTCTTCTTAGCCATGGTTTTATTTAATGTGTGGATTGCATTTGCAAATCACATAAATTATAGAATATAAATACACACCCTTTTAAGTTTTTTTTCTGTCGGAAGTGGAGGAAAGCACCGATGTTTTTCAGATCAAAGCTGTGATTATCTCCATGTGTTTGGTTGTCAAAATATCTCTTGGTTGGCCAAGATATTTTTTCAACTCTTCAAAGCACTTTATAAAGTGTCTCTGTAATAAAACAAGTGTGTAATATATACACATGTATGTATGTATATATGTATGTATGTGTATAATATAGATAGATAGATAGATAGATACTCACTCTATTGATGCCTGTAGGAGAAATTCAGGTGTCCAGCAGCAAAAGAAAAAAAAATATAATTCTAAAAAAAAACAAGCGACAGCCCTTCAGGTCAGAGAAGCAGATGTGATGTAGTCTCTGGGTGGAGCAGGACGGGTCACAGCAGCAGAGGTGGAGTAGCCGCTTGGTTCAGACTATTTTCTCTGCTCTAGTACAAAGTAAAATGCTGAATGCTTCATTAGCATTTTTCCAGTTGATTTTCACCTGATCCACTTGGTTCGGACCATGAATCCTCTCTGCTCCTGTCCGGACCTGTGAAAAACCATGAACACTG